TTATATTATTATTATTAATTATTATTCCACCATTCCTTCCTGCTAAGTTTAGTCAAATTTTCATCAGTCACATATGGAAAAACTAGGGACAAACAGGAACTGCTGCAACCCCATCCATGCAGAGTGGTTGTGCTCTCCCCATCCTGCTCCCTGTGGGAAGCCAAAGTGCCTCAGCCCTGGGCTGCTCCATCCTTTTACGCCCATGAGAGGGGCTAGAGATCGCCCATGTGCCCAAACAGCTCTTACACTGTTACAAAAAAGCTACATACGTGGAGTTTGCATTTTTTTCAGAGAAGACTCGCAGACAGAAATCCCCATTCTTGTTGGGTTCGAAGGTCGAGGGCACAACAATACTTCTCGGAGGTTGATAAAGGTGTTTGATTTTTCTCTTGCTTTGTTGGTCAGGAAAAAGTTTTTGCTCAGATGAATATTCGTCTGGCCAGAAAACTTAAGAAAAGTAAAGAAATATGAAAAAAAAGGTCACAGTTTGCAGATATTGGCATTTACAGATTAAAAGACAATTAGCTATGTATGGGGGGTGGGGGGGAGAAAGATGTTCGGAGGTTGATAAAGGTGTTTGATTTTTCTCTTGCTTTGTTGGTCAGGAAAAAGTTTTTGCTCAGATGAATATTCGTCTGGCCAGAAAACTTAAGAAAAGTAAAGAAATATGAAAAAAAAGGTCACAGTTTGCAGATATTGGCATTTACAGATTAAAAGACAATTAGCTATGTATGGGGGGTGGGGGGGAGAAAGATGTCCATTCAACAGAACCAAAAGAGAGAAGAGCAAGGGGGTGGGTGCATCCCACCCCAGTACACCCGAGCTGCGGGTGCAAACACATTTTGCAGATCATCTCAATAAATCATTCACGTCATGCTTATGTTTTGCAGTCGATGATGGGTGTGTGAAGACATCTGGCAAATTCTTCCACCAACTATTTTTCTTTAAAGTGAGATGGCTTATGACTGATGTCCCTCTGGTCCCCAGAGCTGGTGCCACCAGGGGACTGCAGCTGAGCTCTGCCTCTGTCAGGCTGCCTTAAGGCAGAGAGGCCACTTATGGAGGGCTCCAAGAATAAAAAACACAGTTACACCTTATAAAAAGCATATTTGGAATGTAACACCTTGCAGAACAAACTCTTCTGTGCAGGATGGCTGACAGGTGGGCTATCTCAGATCTAGAAGCAAACATCAGGAACGTGCATGGTTCAGAAACCTCTCCCTTCCTGTCCTCCCGGATTTTTAAGAATGCAAAACCTGTCAGACCTGCTGTCACGGTGGGAGATAAAATTCTACCTTTAGGGGAGAAGAAAAGTCACGGGACTGTAGCTAGAATCTCTTTTTTATGGAAATCAGGTTTTTGGACCACTCTGGTGAGAGCTGAACAGCTGACCAAGTACTGTTAGGTTCGTAAGAAATTTAATTAACTGGCAGCACCATTTCCTTCCTGATGAAACCACGTTTTACACAGCAGCAGCTGGTTTGAGCGTAGCCTCGGGTGCCATGAGGTGCCCCAGCCACTTTGCACACACCCTCACAGGTAGAACAGGCTGTGTCATGAGGTTAACCGGGCATTTTGCTCAACCTCACTCGTTCTTCTGAGGAGCAACAGCTCAAAGCCTGCAGCCCTGTCTCCTATTGCATAGGCATCACTGAATCGCACACCCCTCTCTGATCCCTGGGGCATGCTATTAGCTACCTACACGTAGAAACAGAGAGAAACCCATAAAGACAGTGCTTAAGGAAATGAAAAGAACCACCTCCTTGGAATATTAGTTGTGTGTCAAGCATGAACTCTGCGCAAACCTGAGAAAAGCAGCTGTGCTCTGGGGGAACAGGTGTGGGTCTGGGCTGGGAGAAGACCCATGGAAGAGCAGCTCTGGTGAGTTTGTGCAGTACAGAGTGCTCTTATCCCAATCTAAGATACTCTGAAAATGCAACATGGGCTCAAGGCCCCTTCCAGAACAAATGGCCTCTAACTTTAAACTCTGCATAGTCAATACTGTCCTGCAGTGAAGGAAGATCCTCTGGACCGTTTCTTCCCACAAGCCATTCAGCCCCAACTCTGCACCTTGACCACCAATGCATGCTACGTACCTCCGGGGGCACCTGCAAGGAGAAAAGGACAGAGTTATTTGTTGAATGGCAGCTCCAGGGCTACTTTTCACTGCTGGTCATCAGGTACATTCACACTCTTGAAAGAACCAGCTCAGGGGGGAAGGTGAGTGCTGAGCCCATGCCACCCAATGCTGACTGCTGGCTCAGCTCCCAACTCCATCCTGGAGGCAGGCGAGGCTCAGCTGGAGCAGCACAGGCACAGCCTGGCACAGACACAGCCAGGCTGGTCGTGGTTTCCTGCTCACCCTCTACCCTGTGGTCTCCTGTGATATCCTTTGTAGACTCAGTTTCTCTACTATTCCTTCTTACCTTCTCTTTCACTCCCTGACCTCTCCATCATAAGAGGAGGCGGGGGCTGAGCAAGACAACAATGCAGTTTTATGTTCCCTTATGGGTTCAGGAGGCCTAACTCTGCTTTAAACCTTATGTGCCTACAGGAACCAGATTCTTTGACAAGCTTTTCCAAAGCTGGGATATCAAGAAAGCAAGCAGCTGCTCATATTGCCTACAGTTAAAGAGCAACCTGCAGGCAAGACCATTAGTCCTATTTTCACTGCCAGTTAAGCACTGTTGCTTTGCAGCTGTGAACAAAACGTCCTGCTTCAGGAGTTACCACAGACACATCTCTGACCCTTTATTCAGCAGAATGAGTTTTACAGGTGTTTTGGTTGGTTCTGCTGCTGGGTTGATGCCCCCCAAGCTAGTGCAGGTGTCCCAGCAAGTGTCACAGCCCTACCATGGCTGCTCATTCTGCTGCTTTTCACCACAGCCTCACAAGTGAAGGTCAGACTGGATTTCTGCACTTTTAATTTTTATTTTCTTAAATACTTTTTCTGCTCCTCCATTTAGAAGCACAGAATACTCTAGATGAGAAGTAGCCTCTGGGGGTCATGTCAGTCAACCCCCTACTCAAAGCAAGGCCAATATCAAAGTTAGACAAGGGTGCTCAGGACCTCGTCCAGCCTAGGCTTTAATATCTTCAGGAATGCAGATTCTGCCTGGGTACCTGTCCCTGTGCTTGACCACTGTTTTGGTGGAAGATAATTTTCTGAACACCTAAGTGGACTTTTCCTTGCTGCAGCTGGTGTCCAATCCAACCTAGTTGAGTTTTGGTAGAAAGCCCAGTCTGAGAATTGTACTGCCTCATTTATAGGGCAAGTCTTCCTTTTCCTCCCACGCACCTCTACTGCCTTACTTGCCTCATAAATCGCAAAGCCGATGGTATGCATGTCCTCTCCCATCTTCCTCTGCTTCCGACGGTGTTTCTGAATCAGGCCAATGAGGAAAGTACAGCCCCTCTCAGGATCATCAGGATCCTCATCTTCTTCCTCCAGCTTGATTAAATACTGTGGATTTGTCCAGAAAGTATCTGGGAAGTGGATTTATGCAAACTGCTCAGAGGCCTCATTGAAAGCAACTGTGCTGATATATACACGTCAGCTAGGAGAGATGCAGCTCGGACTTCCAAAATTGGGTGGGAGAAGGAAAAACTAACACTCCTTCCTCAGCATTTACAACCACAAGTAGAACTTCATCAGTGAGCCACATTTCCTAAACCCTTGCACTTTTTGGATCTCAGTACTGGATATCCCAGGTACATCCTCCTCCTCATCCACAGGCCACCCCAAACCAGCTCCCAGAAGAAGCTCCCAGATAAAGTACAAGTGGATGAGTATAAAGGGTTTCGCTATCAGAGTGGTGACTGCACACTCTTACTTGGGTAATTCCTGCAGCCCCCAGCAGTGGCTCCTCGCCTCCAGTTCCCATCCAGCTTCAGCAGGCTCCACTTCTTGTACCTGTCACTTGTCAGAGTGTCTGGAGTCAGGTTGCAGATCTCAAGGCGGGAATAATGTCTCAAGAAGTCGTTGAACGCCATCCTGTGGGATGCAATGCCACAGGCAACGTCTCGTTAGAATGGACAACCACCTTGTCTATCCTCCTCTCTCACTGCGATTTAGCACTAGGATTTGGGGTGAATTTACTCATTCATCTTGGAGAAGGTACTGGGAGAGGTTACTTTGAGTGAAAAAAGCAGAGGAGAAGACATCTCCTTCAGCCTGAATGGAAGCCCAGTGATACTTACCAAAATTCCCCATCTTCATGCCTCCTGGTCAGTCGCTCCCGCACCTCAGGGTCAACGCCACTCCAGTTTGGGCAGCTGAAAAACAACCCCACATCAAATGCAGGGAATGGTAAAGGCTAAACCCTAATGTAGCTGTTCTGGCACAACTTTCACTTACAGCTCCACATGATTGCAATATCCCACAATATCTCACTGATAGCAGCTCCAGGGCTCTCAAACCACCGCAGAATTAAAACACAGGGACCTGGGATATTCAATACCTCACTTCTTAAATACTCAAGGTAAGGATCAGAAACAGTTTTATTTGCAGAAAGTGCTAATGCCTTGACTGAGACAGAGCTTTATTTTAGAAAAATCAAGACCCAGAACAAATACTGCCCAGCCACAGAAGTAAGCAAACTTTGGCTTTCATTGCTAACAACATAAATAGATTTTTAAAGCCCTTTTAGAAAGAAAATTCTCAGTAGCTCACCACTGAACCTGGGCTCTTAAAGAAGCAGAAACTACAGAGAGGCGTGTAAGAACCACAACCCAAATGACTGCATCTTACATGAAGGCAGGTAGTTTGTATGAAGGGCACCGCATGCTGTGATGCCCACGTGGGAGATGACAGTGGTGGGATGCTTCTTTTAAATAGGTCGGAGCAAACATCACGTCCAGATGTGACTTAAGAGAGGAATTTGAGGTAGGGAGAAGACAGGTGACATCAGAAACACAATCCTACCCCTCCAGTAAAAGCCTACAGGCAACACGCAAGCCACTGACTCACTTGTCGTTCCATTTCCCAGTCCACTCCACTTCCCCCCAGGGATTTCGGATCCTGATCAGCTTCTGCACTGTTCCTCGGAAGTTAACCTATGGGATCAGAAGCGTATGGAGTTACCTAGGGACTCAGTACTGTGCTCCCTTCCACCTTTTCTATGGGAATTAAAGGACATGACAGAGTAAGTATCTCAGTGCTACAGAAACACCAAAGTGTATATACACAAACACACACTCACCTGGTCCAAAAGACATGAAGTCAAACTGATTTTGAATGAGCTCCATGCACCCAAACTTGTCTAGAGAAGTTTTTTGTGCAATCAAAGCTCACAAAACCCAAAATGTCTGTTTTGTGCTGCTAAAAATGTTACCTCTGATAGGATTTCAAGCAAAGGGAAAGTAAAGTTGCTCCAGGACTGCCAAAAAGCAAGTACAAGGGCGTATTTCTGACATAAAGCTGTCATCTGTGTACAAACTGCCTTTTCACATTTAAATGCTTTTTTCCTCCCTCACTATATATACAATGAGCCTATTACAAGAGATGGGATACTCAGTCCAGCCAAAACCTCTTTGACCACATGAATGCCCCGCAGTGCAGCAGCCCCTCCTCACACTACGCTGAGGCTCAGGCTTGTTATCTGCTGATCTCTGTGTGCACAGAGTCCAGGCCAAGCAAAGCTGTATGAGTTTCAGTGGGAACACATCCCCAGGTGGATGGGGAATGCACAGCACTAATTTGAGGAAGGAGCTGGCACACCTCTGGAGCCTGAAGCCAAGAAAACTGCACAGAGCATCAGCAGCGCAGAGCCCAGAAATGATGCTCTGGTGCCCAAGATGAACTACCCTTACAAAGCCTGCACATATTGCCAAGGGAAAAACCTGGCTAAATCATGCCTGCTTGTCAATTAAGGTCAAACTCCTTCTTTGCTGCTCCTGTGGCAAGAGAAGCAAATGCACGCACGTAAACTTGCCTGTTAGCAGTGTCCACCTCAGTGCAGCACGTCAGTGGCTTTCTACACCTCACTCTGAAGTTTCAGGAGTTATTTCAGAAATAATTACCAGTGAAGTGAGAGAAAGTCCACTATACATGTGGAAGGACGCCATGATCTGCTTCCTTTGTTTTCACTTGTCTTACACTCACCAGTCACCTACTCTTGAACAGGCACTTTGTGTTTGAACACCATGCCCTGCCAAAAGCTGCTGCTTGGCAGGTGTTTAAGGAACAATAGGGTTTTTTGGTCTTTTTTTTTTTGCTTGGCACATGTGTCTCACATATCTTGCTGTACATTTAAGGTACGGTGCTGCCTGCTATACATAAACGTGTTGAAGGGTCCCATCACCAGCAGAGGGTAGTGTGCCCTCTGCACAGGGCTTCCTCCCACCCTGCTCATTGGAAAACAGCAATCCTTATGGAAAAAAAGGGTTTTTTTGGTCAAAATCCCAAGCAGTCAAGTTTGTATTTGTCCAAAACATGGCAACTAATTCAGTATGTCTGCAGAAAGATTCAAAACCTGATTCAGAAAAATGGGTGAGACTGGAGAATTTGCAACGTTGAAGACAAATTTATGGCTGCCACAGCCCAAGCGACGCACAAAGCTCACTGCATTTCACCCCCTTGGAGCAGTGCACCCACCTCCTCTGCCCCGGTGACCGAGTATGCGTGTCCCTTCACCAGCTTCTGGGAAGTGACTGCCTCTGTCTCCGCTGCACTGGTGATCTGGAGGAGCAAAGAAAGTCGGTGAGCCTGGCTTCCCGCACAGCAGGGGATCCAGCTGAGCAAAACTTCCCCTTCTAATGGAGCTTTGGTCTTGCTGGGAGGCTGCAGGGGTGGTTTAGCTGCTGCACAGAGGCAACAAGAGGGATCTGTGTGACAGAGTGGGGAGAGGGGATGGCAGCACGTGTGGCAGTGCTGGAGCCTCAGGGCCCCCATTCATGGCACAGGGTGCATACCAGAAGCCCTGCACCAAACCAAAGCTCCCTCCTGGATTCAAAATGCTTCGTGTGGCACATCCCCTCTTGCGCATCTCCAAACACTGTACAAAGATGATACACAAGATTAAATCCATGTTCTCAAGGGACCAAGAGGAACACAGGGGATGACCGGTCAGAGGCTGTCCAGGCATCACCAGGGATCAAAGCCAGGTCCAACAAGCCCCAGTGCTTTGCTTTGAGGTCAAAACACCCCTTTTGGCTCCACAGCGGGGTAGGAGGTTCCCTCTCCTTTACCCAGCACCACCACCCTAGGACCTGCCATGCAGGTGAGCAAGGGAAAAGGCAGCACTTTGCATGCTAAAGGCGTATCACCCTCTCACTTTTTTGTGGCCACTGCAACACTCAGGCAGTCTGTCCCAGACTGCAGAGAAAAATCACTTCTTCCTAGAAAGTGACTGCTCGACATCTTGCTCTGAAGATGCTTAAACCTCTATGAAACGTATGCTTGCCCTTGCGTTCCCACCATTTCAGAAAGTGCATGACCTTTAAACAAGCATATTTGAAGCTTAAAAAAAAATAGTGTGATCAAACAGCCAGGTTTCCGTCTGTCAGTTCATGCCCTGTTAGTGCTGCAGTGAACTCTCTATGTAATGCTTAACCTCCGTGTCTCTATCTCTCCCACAGAAGAGATGAAAAGATTTTACAGGATTTTTTTCAAAGCCTACACCCACTAATAATTAGTATGCAATAGAGAAAGTGTCAGCACTTACCAACAAAGGAATATATTTACTTCTCCCCACCCCTGACAAGAGATTTTTATCATTCTGGGGCAAAAATCTAGATTTTGGATTCTTTTCTAACTGTAAACGAGTAAAACAGCCCTCAAAAGCGCTGCGAAGTTGCACGCTGACATTAGCCAAGTACTTTTCCTGCTGTGAAGCTTCCCTCTCCTGTGACGCTGATTTAACTTAAAAAATGGGAGGAAACACTTGAGTTTACACTATAAATGAAGTTGTTGTAAACAGTTTACTTTCCCTTTAGGCACAACTGAGGTGTAATCTCCTTTGGGAGCAAGGCGATTATCACAATAACCATACTCAGACTCATTTCAGTGCGGCTAAAAGCAATGCTGAATCCTTGCAGGCAGCGCCAAATCTCCTCTTTTCCTTCTGGTGCATGTTCAGCTTTTGGCAACATGTTTTCCAACAAAGCCTCTTAAAGGCCTGGCAACAGTCCGAGCGTCTCTGCTTCAAGAACATAGCCCAGATTTTTTGGGAACGTTTTGGTACAATTTGTGTGACAAACAGGCCACAGCAAGGACGGAGGTTGCCACCTCTGAGCATCTGATTGCAGAAGGTATTAGCAGCAGCTTTCTGTCCAAACCCACTCAGCCTGCACCAACCTGCTGCGGAGCTATGGGCTTTAGGAACAAAGATGTACATCAGGACCCCTAATGAGCTCCCCGTGCGATTTGCTACCATGAACCTATGAAAAAGCAAAAGCTCCAGGTCTTGAGGAATAAAAACAAGGGAAGCAGCGAGTTTTTGCACATGAACTAATGAAGTCTATGTGTCAACCTAAGAGCATGTGCCTGTGTCACACTCTTGGGTCAAAGGTAAAGCAGAGAACCCTAGGCAGAGGGGACCAGCATCCTTTGTGCACCTCCTATGGATGGAGCACAGGTCCATCTCCCAGCTGCCCGCATAAACAGCAAAAGCCAAACATCCAGCAATAAGCCCACTAACTCACATCAATAGAGCAGCCAAGGAGAGAGCCTTTCTGAAGTGCCTTCTGAATGATTCTGAAGAGGTTGGGTGGTGCCTTCTGCAGCTCATACCATTCTGCAATTCCACCGGTGAAGTCCTCAAAGCCTTCAGTGGTGGTGCCACCAGAGAGAGACTCGTACGATCCGTTCAGCCTGCATGAAAGGGGACACATGCACACAACCATCAGGTTCCCTATTCTCCTCTTCTCTTGGTAGGAGATGGTGTGAAAAAGTACTATCCATCTTCACATTGAACAGAGCCCTGGACACATGGACTGGCATGCTTTGCACACTGAAGCACTGCTGCTGCAAGCCCTCACAGGTGTGTAAAGCTCATGACACTGAGCTTCTCAGACCCTGGTGACAGGAGACAGCACTCCAGGAACAGCCTTGTCATGAGTTGCAAGAGCTATTTTTCCTGGCTAGCAGCAAAGCCAATACCTTGTCTTATGCACCTGTTGGCAAAGCTTTACCAAAGCAGCTGCTATGGGATACCCTAGAAGTTTTAAAGGGTAACATTTAGGCTGATATTTTACATGTGTAGTATCTGCACAGTTGAAGTTGCTATGGGGAAGGAGAGGCATGAAGAGATTTGAGCAGGGTAAAAACAATCTCTCTTGCCCTAGAAGGGCCACCTTGGCCTCAACTCACTTGGCATAGGCCTTCTCCAGCAGCGCGCTCCAGAACTCGCTGCCCTCCGCAGAGTGCACGAAGACCAGCTTCCCATTCTTGGTGGGCAGCCTGTCATCCACCACGACGTCCACCCACTCCCCGTACTGCCAGAACTGGAAAGAGAGCACAAACACCTTGTCACCACCCTGTGCTGCGCACTCAGGTCACCAGGATGTTTATCTGTTAACACTGATTTCCTAGAGGAAAAGCAATCCCCCTCACAGCCAGCTTCACCCAACCTGTTCAGGGATGCATGTCCTCAGCTGGATCTGTTGGTGGAGGAAGGACCACAAAGACAGCCCCTGCTCCCAGCTCTTTGGTTTGCAGCCTTCTTCCTTCCACCACCATCACCCTTTTTGTGTGCCTCTGTTTTTCTGCCCAGCTCTTTGACATCCCTCAAAATGTTCCAGGAAACACCACACACCTGGACATGACCAGTCACACTGGTTCCTGGCCAACAGCACCGGGGGGGGTGACAAGAGCCAGTTTTCCACCTACCTGGAAGTGGAAAATGCCTGCATATTTATCCTGGAAGCTCTGGTCTTTGGGAACAACACGGGCCAGTATTTCTTCATTCAGGGTGAGAGATGCAATAGCAGCCAAGAGCCAACAGTCCCCTGTTAAAAAAAAAACAGGGAATTAATTAGGGAAATTTTAACCTGTAGTTTTTATACTGCATAGGTATTGTGCATTGTAACTAATAACCATCTCAGCTGTGATGAGATGATCCCTCCCATCACTTTGCCTCTAAGGCAGACCAAATGCATGTACACTAATACACACCATTTCCAGGCAAGTGTTGCATTTCCTCAAGACCAGAGTAATTAAAAAAAAAAAGTAAAAGTAGGCTTTTTACGATTTACCAGTACAGCTATCACCCATGCTGGGACTGTTTGAAAGAAACCTTAACATTCAGTTGAGTGTCTACAGGTTAGGAAGCAGCATGGGGAAGAGGCGAAGAGCAGGGCCCATGGGCACACACAGGTACTCGGCGGTGCAGTTTCTCCTCAAAAGGCCAGTGTTTTCTCAAGCACAGGCTGTTCTCCTTTCCCTCCTCCATGTTTAATAAATGCCTGTTGACTTGCCATCCAGAGGTCTACCCTATGGATGCACTCCCTTTAAGGTCCCTTGCCAGACTCCTTCCAAACAGGAGTTCCTTTCACCTTACACATCTCTGGAGGCTCTTGCTAGAGGCCTCTCTGTTTAGTCTCACATCCCATCTCTGGCGCTAGTCACCAGAGAGTCAGGAAAGGTCTGAAGGCAGGCACTGTTCCCCAGTCCCACACACCTCCTCACCCTTCCTGGGACGGAGCCAACATACACCCAGCCTGTACGCCAGTGCTCAGGCTGTCTGGATAGTACTTTTCCACACCATCTCCTACCAAGAAGAGGGAGGAGGAGACCACAACTATATAAACATTACCTCTATTTTCTGTAATTACTTTCAGAAACCAGTGTTATTTTAACAGAGTGGTTACCTTTCTGTTCAGCCATGGGCCTCCTGCAGCCCATTAGCAAGGTGACTAGAGATTTAAAGACCCAGCTGATCCCCTGACTCCCACAACCCAACACAAGACTCCTTGTTACCACTACCAGATCTGCTGTTGCCTTGCTTTGTGAACACAGGAAACTTGGTATTACACATCAGATCCCACAGAATGGTCCTGCAGTGTGTGTAGGATCACAGGTTCAAGAAACATGAACCATCTACAGCTGCTAGCAAGTCAGAAGCCAGCAAAGCAGCGGTCTCTATACAGCCAGCTCTCTCTATAGGAAAAGGGTCAGAAGCTCACAGGTGAGAAGCTGGGTTTCAAATGGGCAGCTGGAAGAAAGTCTCAGAGAGAAGCGGCTCTTGGTCACCCTCAAGCTCATACCCAGCACCACTCAGACAGCACAAGGAAGAACCTGCAGCATCCTCTGTGCTGCCCAGTGCTTTTCACAGCTGATCCCCTGCAGCAGCTCTATGAGTGACATTTGTCCTATGGCCCTTTTCACATCTCATGAGAGGTAGAAGATGTGGATTTCAGAATAATTTCCAAACCTGAGATACTTTTACCATTTCATAACCTAGAGGGGAAGAACTGAATATAAAACTTTCCCTTCAGCCCTGCCTCTGGCTGCTTGTATTGCTATGGAGAAACTGTCATGTCAGAGAAGTTTTTCAAAGAGGAAAGCCACCTTGCCATTCTCCTGTGACAGATTATGAAGCAACGAGGATGTTGACCTCCCTCCTCTGCGACAGCACATCCATCTCACCCTGCAAAATGGTGACTCTTCTGACAGCCTCCTTAGTCACGCTGAGACCCTGGGAGCTCTGTACCCCCTGGTGCCACAGTGCGTTCAGAGGCACTGCCAAGCACAGCACGTGTGCTTGCTGGGAAAGAGATTGGGGTCAGAAGATGCTAAGAGACATTTTTAGATGGGCTAATCTACAATTAACAGCATGATCCTCTGTCCCCCAGCCATGTGAGGGCTTTAGCAGTTATCCTTCAGGGCAATTCTCCTTACAGAGGACGTTAAAGAGCTCTGTAAACAAACCCTCTGGTCAAAAGGCAACAACAGGACTTCAGTTCAGTGTACATCTGGTGCTCTCCCATACACAGCCTGCCCGCACAAAGTTATTTGTGTGGTTTTTCTTTGGGTTTTTTTAGACCAAAGGAGTCTTCAACAAACCTGCCAATATGGTAATCACTTGGGAGAGACTGCCAGGAGACCCCTTCTGTACTGAGGATCCCTGTGTTCATTAAGTCTCCAAAACAGGTAGTTTCTGAAAAAGAGATTGGGTTCTTCAAGTCCACGGGACAACAGCCTGCTAGAGAACAGCCCTGGCACTTTGACTGGGTCTCTTGTGGGGTCAGGCTGAATTAATATCTACTACCTCTGAATTATTAACATATTGTCTCCACTCCTTCCTCTTTAACTTTTCTCCCACTGGCACTCATCACACAACAAGTCAATTCATTAACCCAGACAAAAAAGTCTTTCTGTCGCCTTACTGAGTTAAAGGAAGTCACAGCTTGTGACAAGCCTCTTCTGGGTCGAGAGAGCAGTGGGGGGTTTTATGCATATAGCAGTAGAAATAGCCTATCTCAGAGCCACTGTGGGAAAAGGGGGTGGATGTAACTATACATGTGTACTGGACCAGCACACACCACAGGAGAGCTGACCGCTTTCCATCAACACTCCAGCACTGCACACAAGTGAAAAACCCTTAGTCAGCCCCTGAGATATTCCTCTTCTAGCACCCAGGAGCCACGGGCTCCTTGGTGTTTTTAAGACCAACAAAATCGTAAAAGAAGGTAAAGAGAGGAGATCTTCATTCTTCCTGCTGTGCCACTCTCCTTCCAGCAGAACAATCATTCACACCTGGGAAAGGTTAGCAAGCCACAGTGAGACTTTTAACTTCTAACAAACAGCAACCTCAAACCATCCTGAACACCTGAACAGGCATGAGACAATTAAAAAGCATACAAGTCAATAGGTTAACTGGTCTTTAACCAGTCTTATTTCAGCACAGAGGCCAGATAACTGAAAACCTGCAGAGGGGTGTCTGTCTGAGCAGCAGAACAACTCCAGCACACATCCCAGGCTCTGCAAGGCTTTTACAGACAGACACACACAACTCAGAGGTGAAGTGAGTCTCTGGTGTCTCAGACCTACACTAGCTGGACTAAAGCCAGCAGAGGTATATGCTTACCTAGACTTCTAGGATGCCTTCACACAGTTAGGCAGATCCACGCTCTCATTCAGACTAAATTAGATAAACCCAGAAAGAGAGTAACACAGCCCGCTTGGCACAGTTGTGCTAGTCCTAAGGCACAGCTGGGCACAACCACGCAGCTCCTGGCCTCTGTAACAAAGCTGCAGGCAGAGCTGAAGGCACTTTGTGCATGTCTACTGGGTGGGCGGAAACAGCTTGAGCAATGTCCTACACTCCTTGTTCGCAGTCAGCTGTGGAGGTGCTCCTCCTCTCAGTTTCTCAATCTGCAGCATAAACCAGAGTTCACATTGCCCAGCTTTACTCGACCAGGCAAACTCAACCACTCCAAGACCCCCACAGCATTTGACATTGGTGCTACTACCCTCACAGAAACTCTGCTGATTTAAACTAGTAGCAAGTCTGTCTCACAGAGCAGCTGTCCCACCCACCCTTCCAAAGAATTATTAGCATTTATATTCCATAACAGGGGCTGGGCAGGCAAAGAGTAGCACAGAAAGAATAAGTGAACGACTTGAGATGACCACAATAGCTCAGGAAGCCTTGGTCATGAAGCTGCTCAGGTATTGAGATTAAGAGCATACACCTTTTAATCTATACATCTTTGAGTCAAGTTTCCCCTGCAGATAAGAAGCACTGAAGTTCAAGGAAGACAACCCCCTCCCCCCTCAGAGGACCTCAAAGCCTGTAAGCAGAGATTATAAAGTTTCCTTTACCTTCTAGCTGTCCCATCAAGGCAGACATGAAGAAATAGCACACTATGTTGTAAAACCTGTCTGTTGAACTTTATACTGGTTTCTAAGGAGAATTTGGAGTCAGACAAACAGATCTTAACTCAGAGAACTCAAGGCAAGGTCTTCTTGAGGTTAAAAGGCAGATGCAGCATACATGGGACACACACCACCATTTGGTTTCCATATCTAAGTGCTCAACAGTCAGGGTATCATCCCTCCCTTTCTGAACAGTCATTACTAAAAGTAGACCTGGTAATTCAAAGCCTGGATGAGAATAGATCTTGGGATAATACCTGGAGTTTTAGCCTGCACTAAGTAAGCCTGAGCAGGGTCTTTACCAAATAGTCTTAACGATAAGAACTGGTACTTCAGGAAAGCTCTTGACAGTGACTTTCCTTTGATAGAGAAGGAAAGATCAAGAGGAAGCTAACAAACAGGTTACTTATATGCAGAATTTGAGAGGAGTGTTAGCAAGGCTAAGTTAATCATGGAGAATTTTTGTAAATGCACAATACAATAAGCAGAAAAAAGTTATCAGAAAAGGGTATATTATCAGGCTGTGAGTTTATTTATATTAACAAGAAGTACTGTTTTTTTCCTGCCATGCTTCCTTTTTGCTGCTATCAATGTTTTACTTCTTATTTCTATATATCCATCTCTGCATTTACCCAATCCCCAGCTTTAAAGAACGTTAGAAAAAATGTAATTGCAAGGCAAGCATAAATAGCTGGAAGGGCTTAAAATTGGCCATTCTAGAGAGCAAATACAAGCAAAGCATCCCCATGAAGTGCCTGGAGGGCTGTAAGTGAAAGGCAGCTCCTCAGGTCACTGCACAGTCCAGGTAAGAGTACCGGATCAAAGGAAAAATGTACACTCAGCCAATCACAGACATGTCATAATTTTAAAACACTCATAGCTATAGATTAACAACTACATCAATGCCTGAACATATTTATATTAATGCCATGGGACCCCAGGAAGTTTTTTGGCTAGAAACATGAGGCTGTGGCCACCCACTTACAGTACAGCGGTGGCCAGCGTGGGAAAACCATGCATCTAATTTTCTAAATTCATCCTACTCAATTAATCATTTTTCCACAGATTTTTATTTAAGAAGGAGACACCTGTGTCTAAACAGCAGACGAGAGACACTGCGCTGTGTACGCCCCAGTGTTGTGATGCCATGGTGACATCCCCAAGAAGGAGGTTAAGGGTGAATAAGCTTCCTCTCCACAGCAGCTTGGGTTCCTCCCCTCCGCTGTAATGAGTCACCACATCCCATGTGCTGGTGTTCCGAGCCAAATACCATCATTGACTTCAGATCTGATACTGCAAAACTAATTCCAAATACTTGCCATTAAAAGTTTCTTCTAAAAAGCAACAAAATCAGAATAAAGGGTAATCCAAAGAGCAAGGGCCAGAACTTTGGTATCTGAATAATGTAACGAACTGCTGCCTTGGTGAGGGGACAACTTTTTCTGTGCTGATGATCAGCTGTGCCTTTTATGCATTTTAATCCAGGTCAAAAACAATGAAACAAAAGTATAGGCTGCATCTGGCCCACAGACCAAAGCCTCCTGTGCTCAAAGGAACATCTGTACCACTGCTCATTAGCCAAGCTGTTGGGTTACACATCCCCTGCCAAGAAGCCTGTTGCTGCAGTGATGGGAACACGTGCTTTGGACGCCTCATCTGTCCCTGCAGTAATTCAAGATGTTCTGAATGGTCTAGTAACAGCAGTGAAACTCCACATGGGTACAGGTCTGTTGCTTTGTGATTAAGCCTTTTGGGGGATAAATCGACTACAAAAGCTTCCTATGGAAAAAACCCAACATAATAAAATGTACAGGTTTTCAAGAGCACCTGACATCTTCCAGCGTAATCTTTGTAAATCCTAAAATCTGATGGGACATCAGTACCAGCACATAAAGCTCAAGTAAATGGAAGCTTAAGCAGATATATTGATACAACTGCTGGTGTCAGATATGGCAGCTACAAAAAGAGAAAAATAAAAAAGCATTTGTACAGCATATCTGCTAGTCTCGTGTGAAAAAGCAGAGATTCAATACAGGCTTTTAGTAACTCAATGGCTATACAGGGAAAAGATCAACAGCATCTAGTTTTTAATCAACCACTAAACTGTCACACAATACCAAAATCCTGCCCAGATTCAAAAGAAGATAGCGGGATAAGTCATAGCAGTACTTATGTTGAAAACAGTAACCTAAACAAGAACACTAACAATCTTCTATTCAAACACTGTTTCAGGAGATCAAATAATACAAGCTGTGAGTCAGTTCATATCCTTTGGTGGTACTGTATAACCTCATGAGAACATCTGACTGGTCCAAAGACCATTAAGATAACAAATGCTTTCATCAATTTAAAACCAGGTTTGGCATTAGCAACAGCAACTCCACAACTTGAAAACGAAGTTACAAATCTTTCATTACAGTGCTCTTGCTGCCACAACATCTGGATAGAAAAGCTGGAAACCCGCAGAAGGCAGAAAGCGAAAAAGTGCCTTCAGAAATGAGCATCTGTGCAAAATGCCGGATGCTGAAATGGCGTTACAATAAACTCTAATTTCAAGCTGAACAACTCCTTAGCTATAAAGTTAACAAAAAAAGAGGACAGATGTCTGGCACGTGTGTCGAGCACTGGGACATGCTTTATGCCAAAACAGTCACGGTGGGAGACATGATATTGGGCAGAGAGAGAACACACGAAGGAATCTGGTGACATGCCAAGGACTTCACCGATGACACAACAGAGCCTAATCCATGCCACAGATGACAGCAGGGCATAAGAAGAACTAAATTCACAATCTAAGTATTTTTTATTGTCATGGCTTTTTACACAAATTGTATCTAGTTATTAAAGTGTTACTCTATATAACTTCTGGAAGGAAACATAAGCACTAAACATATGAAATAAGCTTCCCTATCCATTATATTTTTGGGCATGAAAACACAAATAGCTGTAGCGGGACTAGAAACTAAGAAGCCACAACATAGCTAATATTATGCTGATGAAAGGAAAACGAACAGAACTTCATTCCTTTGCCAGCCCCACTGCGAAATCACAACACATGGCACGTATTAGTCATGTTTCCTTACGCTGAGAGCTTTTCCTCAATCACGCTATCAGTTTTATCTAAAACTCTCTCCCTACAGTTATGGAATAAATAGGAGCCTCCCTGCTTCCACTTCAGCTTATTTCCTCTCGCATCCCTGTGGCTGTCCTCCTTGCCAGCCTCCATGCTGTCTTCTGGGAGGCACAGAGGCAGTCACCTAAAACCTCTTCTTGCAGGCAAGGCAGGAAAGAGGCTTTGTGGCCGGGACAGCCGTGCACGCACAGCCAGGTTAAGCCATTCATTTCCCACACTGTCCGTCCCCTGGGGCTTCCCTGCAGCTCCGGGGGCTTCTCCAGAGCAGCTGACCGAGGGACTGCTATTGCACAAACTGAGTGGCAGGCACAACAAAAGCAGAAGGCTCACAGGCTGGCCCATCCCTCCCAAAATAGCTGAATTTTGTTTTCCTTGAGAGCTGGTGAGCAGTTGGGAATCCTTCCATATAAATTGTTTTCTCTATACTGCATCTTTCCAGGTTTCAGGGGTTCACTCCTGCTCAGCACCACTCTTTACCACTGGGGAAACACCCACTATGCACTCAGCTGCTCTTCTAAACTGTTAAAGGCAGAAATTAGTCAGACTGCTCTCAGGCACACGGATGCGGATGTGACAGGACCTGTTAGTGATCACAAAAGACATCAGGAAACCAGCCTGTGTCATCCCTGCTCGGTGCACACAGAAAGGCTGTGCTAAGTGGTCAAACACACATGGGCTCTGCCTGCACCTGCTGAGGAAAGGCAAGAAAGATGATTTGCTATGAAGGGAGGTGATAGGATGCAACAGAATGTATTCATGGAGTGAGCTGCAGCCCAGAATAAAGCCAGACAGCACAGCAGGGGTCTGTGGTGTCCTGGGGCAGCACCTGCATGGAAAACTCAGCTTTCTTCCTCCACCTTACCTAAGGCCCCTTGGCAGATGTCAGTGCGAGTGGCTCCACCGGCTATGAACTGAGGGCTGGAACACAGCTCCTGGGAACAAAACAAACCTTGTGTTACATATGTCTGCAGGTAAGGGAAGGAACAAGGCAAACTTCAACAAACAACTGACCACAGCAGGACAACACCACAGAGATGGAACAGGCCAGGAATGAGCGGGGGCACCAGACACGCTAAGCATGGTGAGAGAGGGGGCTGGTGACCAAAGCTTGTGGGCAGCCATCTCACTTCACAGCATGTGCCAGGAGGTCCACTGTGTTTTTACAGACGTGTACACACCGCTTTGCTATTCCCTCCCTGCCACTGACTACATCAGGGTCTTTCTGAGATGCTGAGACATCCTGGAGCCCCTCTGACCTGATGGCTCTTGTGGCCAGCCAGGGCTGCTTCAGTAGCCAGAGATGCAGGCCAAGAGAGGGCTTGTAAAGGAAACCTCCGCGTGGTGGTCAGCTCATCTCCCTGCTAAGGGAAAGAATTATCCAAAGCAACAGCCCGGAGCGGTACCCAAAGCAAGCGTCTTGTCTGCACGGGGAGCTCCAGATGGAGAGGAAAATGGTTTGTTTGCTGTTTGGTTTTGAGACCGAGCACGTTACCCTACCAGCCCAGCCACCGGGTGAAGGGACATCCCCAGTGTCCCCATCCGCCAGCCTCACCAAACGGGCCCACCGCGATGCTGCAGCCGCCTGGGTGCTGCCCGCGGAGGCTGCGGGAGCGACCCCAGGCAGGTCGAGAGGGAGAAGGGGAGCGCGAAGAGGACACACACAACCCCTGCTGAAGTCAATCACGCCCGATTTAAGGGGCGGAGGGGAAGGGCGGGGGGAGAAAAGTCGGGTGAAAAAGCGCGGAGGTGCCGCGGGGGGATGCTAC